TATTGCCACCATTACTTCTGCTCTGCAGCTGGTGGGGTGCTGCCTTCAAAACTGAGCGCCCAGCCAACAGCTGCTGCCTTTAGAACCGGCCACCCAGCTCTGAAGGCAGGTCAGAAGTAAGGGTGACAATACCACAACCCCCCTACAATAACCTTGTGACCCCCCCCCGTGACTCTCTTGTGTTGGGACCTCCAGTTTGAGAAACACTCGTCTCCCCCTTGAAATCTGCATAGTATAGGGTAAAAGCACACAAAAGACCAGATTTCACAGGGGAGACCAGATTTCACAGCTGTGAATTTGGTAGGGCCCTACTCATAGGCCTAGATCCTCAAATAGGTGACTAAAGCCCTTTGAGGATCTAGGCCTTAGTCCTGCTTTCTCTGTACCTTCTAAAGACACAAAGACAAGCAAAGAACACCTGCTCCAGCAGTGGTGACAGGATTTCCCCATGGATGACTGTTTCTGTAACCCTTTGGGGGTTTAACGAGCATGGCCCCTTTAACTCATGAGGGGAGGAAGTGCTGCTTGTTCGAGAGAGAGAGAGTGTGTGTGTGTGTGTAGCTGGTTTTATTATGGATTTGCAGTTGCAAGGAAAATGATTTACTCTGCCGGGTTTTTTTTTAATGTGGGTGTAAGGATTTGCGTTATTATCACAATACACTGAGATAGCTAATGTTAAAAGTTTCTGTGTCCAGCGAAAGCTGCTGCCGTGTTCCCACTTCCACAGTTTAAGTGATAACAGATCAAAACGGTTGAAAATACAGCAGCCGGCTGCCCAACAACAGGCAAGAGCACTGCGTGTGTGTTGAGAGAGGGCCATGTGAGTGTGAGGAGACGTGCAAGGCATATTAAATAATGGAAGAGCAGTGCTATGGTGCCAGTGATCCTACTAGACCCCTGGAAAAAAAGTTTGCATCAGAAACAGCCCATTAACTGGTTAAACAAACCAGACTACAAAGCCTAGATGGCAAAATGTGCTGATAAAACATACCCTGGTGAGTTATCATTGATGTGGTCAATCTTATCTATATGTGCTATCTCTCTAGATACTATAAGTGGTTGTTGAAGGTGGGGGTTGCGGAGTTGCCTTGTGGTTCGGGTTGCCTCGGACTTGCCTTGAGGAGGGCGGGCGTGCTGGGTATTTTTGCATTTCAAAGGCGGTAACCCTACCTGGGAGGGACATAGTGGCTGACAGGATCACCCCAGGACAGGAGCCAGGAGGAGCACCATGCCAGGGAGGAATCACCCAAGAATGACAAACCGGAGCTGGACCCACTATCACTGCTGCCCAGAGCTGTATGGGGCCATGAGTACTGGGGCTTGTGACTTTGCCCTGGGAACAAAGAGGGAGGCTGTCGCTCGCTAAGTGGGAAGGTTGTCGCGTGTGGCTTTGCAGAGAGCAGTAGAAGAGGGCAATGGAGGGGTTTGTTGGGGAAAGATTCCTGGTGCTGAAGACGACCAGGAGCACCCAAGACACTCCACTGGACTGGGACTTTATGGAGGACTCCTGAACTCTGAGTGCAGACACATTGCTCGGTGTCTGCCTTTTCAGACTGTGGTGCCACTGGGTCTGTGGGGCCTTGTGTTGAACGTAACCCTGTTTTACCAACCACCCCATCTTTCCCCCTGTTGTTTTTCTCCATTCAGCCCTCTGTAAATAAATATTTCCCTTTCCAGTATTCATGGTATTCTTCCGGTGTGTGTGTGTTTGTAACACCGACAGACCCCAGTCGTCGGCGGGCAGGATCAAACTTTGGACCTCTGGAGCTTAGTGCACGAGCCTCTACTGCATGAGGTAAAAGCCATGTGGCAGAATGCATGGGGCTTGGGTATAATGCTGTTTTCCCTCAAACGCCTTAAAACCCCTGTTCTTCACATTCCTTTTTTGGCTGTCTGTGACTGAGGACCAGCTCAACCAATGCGACTGGGTCCTCAGATCAGGCATGTCTTCATTTCAGGAATACTAGTCTCAGGAGCCAGTGTTTGTTAACGTCATTCTCCTTTGCTCTAGTCAGAAGCTTCAGGATGCCCATTATCCCAGTCACTCGTAGCTCTAGATGAGCCAGAACAAAAACACCAGATTCAAACATCCCCAGACACAGAGTGGAAACACCAAAAGTCCCATCTGGGGTGCCATCTGTAGCCTGACCCAAAATTGGGTGTATATAATTGGGTGTATACAAAGTTGGGTGTATACAATTGTAACTTGAGGATTAACTGGGTGTTGTCCCAAGATTAGGCCCAGTTAGATTATTGTAAAATTAATATGCAATTTGGGAACCCCGATATGCACAGGTGCAACACTTACATTATAAAAAGCAACAAAGAGTCCTATGGCACCTTATAGACTAACAGATGTATTGGAGCATAAACTTTCGTGGGTGAATACCCACTTCGTCAGACGCATCATGCATCTGACGAAGTGGGTATTCACCCATGAAAGTTTATGCTCCAATACATCTCTTAGTCTATAAGGTGCCACAGGACTCTTTGTTGCTTTTTACAGATCCAGACTAACATGGCTACCCCTCTGATACTTACATTATAGGAACTTTTTATAAAGATAAATGTTTTATTAATAATTTAGCAAAGTTATACACACACTTAAACTTAACAAAGCGGATAGAGATAATACAGAAAGTACATCTGGATGGCCATACTTACACCCTGGAATGTTAACCATTATCTTTTTAATCACTGTCACCGTCCTCATCTTCCCCGGTGGCCATTATTCTGGCCCCTCCCAAGGTCTACATCTCTCTCCTTGCTACCCCTGGGATGCTACTTTTTATAGCAGGTTATGCTGATGTTACCATGTCCAATGTATATTCAATAGAGGTCCTTATTTGTATTTCCTCCCCATAAGGTGTCATTTTTCTATAGGTTAGTATATGTATGATGTTACCCTATTAGCATACACGTCAATTTGTGGACATGGCACCTTTGCGGTCGGACATTCTGTCCGGAACCTTCCAGATGCTGGTGTCAGCTATGTTCTGTGCGTGGCTGATGTTGGTATTCTGGACAAAATTCCCCCTCTTGCATGCTACTTTCCGTTCCCTATAACTCATGAGTTACTTAAATTTATCTATTCCAAAGGCTATAGGCCTCAAACCTCACACTATCTGCTAAAGCCAAATCTTACAGGATAAAAGCCTGTAGGTTCCTTGCATTGCTACTAAATATAATAAAGCAGAATAACAAAGCAATGAATATAATACAGGTAAGATGGCCCACTGGGCTACAAAGTGGAACCATGTGTTTAATCTGGAGCTGGGTTTTTTTACTTAAGAATGAGACCGAACCAGAAACACCAACCCAAGTAACTCTGAATTGTGAATTCAACGCCCCCCATCACAGAGCCTCGGTGGATTACAGCTGAGGATGCCAAATTCAGGACAAACTGCTGAGAAATAGGGCAGACTCACCCCAAACTGGTGATTATTCTAACATTAGATTATACCAAGCCAGTAACAAAAGTAAACATCTGTCTCACCATACTGGTTAACAAGAAGCCAAAAATGCAGTCTCCTTAGGTATTCCAGCTCTTGACTCACCAGCCAGACACTGGACTCTATGATGAGTGGTTACTGAAAACAAATTTAATCAAATATATAGTCCTAATCCATAGATGTTGACTTTTATTTTTTTCTATGGGTGTTCAACCCCCACTCCATCGTGAGCCCCGCCCCCACTCTGCCCCTTCCTCCTGTTGCCCCCAACCCACTGCTCTCCGCCCTCCCCGGAGCGCATCTGCCAAACAGCTGATCAGTGGCACCACTGAGCAGCCAGGGCTGGTGGGTGCTGAGCACCCACAATTTTTTTTTCCATGGGTGCTTGAGCCCTGGACCGCCCACAGAGTCGGTGCCTATGCTCTAATCCCAAGAGATCAGCCATTTAGCCAGGTCAATATATAACTCAGATCTTACCCGGTAATCACACTGATGCCAATCCTTTAGTAACTAAAAACTAAAGGTTTAATAAAAAAAGAAAAGAAGAGAGTTAGTAGTGGTTAATAGATCATATCCATACAAATAATTGCAAAGTCCTTATATTAGGTTTGTAGCAGGCTTGTAAAGCCCCTCTGGTAACTTCCAAAAGATTGGAAGGTCCTGAGTCCATAGTTCAAAATGCTCCTTTTTGCTGTACATCCATAGAATCAGGACAGGAAAAGAGGCAAAATGGAGATATCTCAGGGGTCTTTTGTATCTTCTGCCATGTATCTGGAAATTTACTGTCTCAAACAAAGCTCACGGCCTTTGTTTGTGGAAAGTTACTGGCCCAAGATGGAGTCCAAGGTCACACGAGCATATCACATGTCCTTACATGGCTTGAAGACTCACAAGGGATGGCCATTGGCCCCTTGGAGTTTGAGGTATCCACAGAGCTATCTGGGTGGAATGAGTTTCTTCTATGGCCCACTGTGAGAGCTAAGTGTTCTTGATGGGCCCTCACTACATAGCTGTCTGGCCTTTATGTAAATTTTACCAGGTGGGTGTTACCCGGGAATACAACACATGTGTATAATGCCAGTATATAGCCAATGTTCATAACTTCAAATACAAAGATGATACATGCATATAAACAGGGTATTCATACTTAGCCAATCATAACTTTTCCATTGACCAGGGGCGGCTCCAGGCACCAGCGCACCAAGCACGTGCCTGGGGCGGCAAGCCGCGGGGGGCGGCAGTCAGGCTGCCTTTGGCGGCATGCCTGCGGGAGGTCCGCCGGTCCCGCGGCTTCGGCGGCAATTCGGCGGCGGGCACGCCGAAGGCGCGGGACCGACGGACCTCCCGCAGGCATGCCGCCGAATCCGTGTTACCAGCGGACCGCCCGCAGGCGCGCCGCCGAAATCCACCTGACTGCCGTGCTTGGGGCGTCAAAATACATAGAGCCGCCCCTGCCATTGACACCTTATATGACATACCCTGTACAAGATTTGTTGCAACTGTATAACAGTGGCAATATCAATAATATAAATGGTCATATTCAATCATACAGCATCACCCCCCTTATATAGCTGTCCCCGTCCTTTTGGTTCTAGGGAAGATTTTCTATTTTACTGCTCTACCTCAGAAAGGCAAGAGCTTCATGAGAATGGTTAGTCTAGTAAGATTTACACCATCCCCTGAGACCAATGGATCTTGGGCTATTTCAGCCATTTCTATGCCCAAATGTTTGCACTCACAAAAGCTAATCTCAACCTAGTACAGATCTGTCCAGCATTACCTCCTTCACCTATCTCCATGCATGATGCAGACCAAATGTTCTGGGTCAGCAGTTAATCAGCATTCCAATAACTCAGCCATTCTTACCGCTCTCTGTGTTATAGGAAATGAGTGTGTAAAGGCTTTAAGCAAGACAGCTTAATTCTAAAATGAAATCCATTATAATTACATCCATTTCATGATACACAAAAGAAAATCATCATCTTCAGTAAACAAAATGCAGTATTGTTCTGTTTAGAAATGTCCCAAGGAGGATTTAGTTCACATATTTGGAGCAGAGCTGTGCAACTGCATTAGGAAGCCATGTTAGACGGCTATTTTGTCATCACTGTTGCCTTCCTGTTTCTTTCCACTGCCAGGTAATAGACACGGTTGGCTTCTGGGTAAGTGACTTTGCAGAGTGGCAGCTTGTAGATGGCAGGGTTGTCTGTAGTTAGTAGCAGGAAGAGAAATGCGGAGAAGCAGAAAGGCCAGGTGCAGGCTGGTAATCCAAACTGAAAGAAAAAGGATCTTGATCATTCCACTCAAATTTTGACCGTTCTAGTTTCTTAATTCTTCTACCTTAGATAGATGCAAAGCAAAGAACCATGGAGCTTCAAAACAAGCCCGTTGTTAAATAGGTAGGGAGGGAGAGGTGTGTGTGTGGGTGTGGGTGTGGACGCGCGTGCACACAGACTGTAGCATACAGGCTGTATGATGGGCTACAGAGCCTTAGGCTGCTGTTGACCAAATGGCTGCTCAGTGTTCAATGTGAAATGAGTTGGCTGTCTCACCCAGTTCCTAATAGACTCGTGTTCCTACGTTGTATGAAACTGGATGTATGGCTTATTACAATAATCTAACTCACTAACCCCCCATTTTGTCCTATGACTTCAGGAGTGATAACAGGCCACTTCACCTTGAATGGACCCTTAGAATATGCGATAACTACTTATGCTAAACTATTTGAACTTGTATTTAGCGGTGACACTCTGAGCCCTGGTCTACACTCAGGGCCGGCTCCAGGCACCAGCTAAGGAAGCCAATACAAAGGAGCAGCACTCCATCCGCTATTGGGGCGGCACGGCTGGGTCTTCGGCGGTGGGTCCCTCAGTCCCTCTCTTCCTCTTTGAGCTGCAGCCGAAGTGCCGCCGATCGGCGCTTTTTTTTTTTTTTTTTTTTGCCGCTTGGGGCAGCAGAAAACCTGGAGCCGGCCCTGTCTACACTACAAAATTACTTCGGTATACCTATGTTGCTCCGGGGTGTGAATAATCCAAGCCCCTGAACGACACTGTTATACCAACCTATGGGCCAGTGTAGACAGTGCTATGTCGGCGGAAGAACACCCTCTCTTGACATAGCCACTATCTTCCGTGGAGGAGGATTAACTAAGCCAGTGGGAGAAGCTCTCTCCCGTTGGCTTAGAGGGCCTTCATTAAAGTGTTGTAGCTGTGCCGATGCAGTGTTTAAGTGTAGACCTGCCCTGAGTACCTTTCCCAGACCTGAAGAAGAGCTCTGTGTAGCTCAAAAGCTTGTCTCTCACCAACAGAAGTTATTTCAATAAAAGATATTACCTCACCCACCTTGCCTCTCTATTGTCCTATCTCATACTTGCTGGCAGCCTCAGAACAGTCCTGGGAACTGAAAATTAGAAAATAACACTAAAAAAAATACCTACCACAGAGAGGGAATTAGCAAGTGCGGCTCCCAGATAGGCACCAAAGAAGGCTGTGAAAAGGACAAAGGAAACTTCAGGTTAAAACGTGTTTGCTCGCAGCATTAGACAGTTAGCAAAAATTACACCACAATCCCACATCCCCTGATTGCACCTCCTTATAGATACACAGACACACATCTTTGTTTTTTCGATGGATCAGTGCCGGGCACAAATGTTTGGTTTTCATAGATTTTAAGGGTTTGTCTATAGGTACAAGGCTGCAGAAACCCAGCTGTACCGATACAGTGGCGCCGCTGCAGTGCGTCTGGTGAGGATGCTCTATGCCGATGGGAAAGAGCTCTCCCGTTGGCTTAAAAATACCCACCTGCGGAAGTGGCAGAAGCTATATCGGCAGGAGAAACTCTCCTGGCAACATAGTGCTGTGCCCACGAGTGCTTATGTCGCTGTCACTTATGTGTCTCAGGGGGTTGAATATTCGCACCCCTGAGTGACATAAGTTTTGCCCACATAGGCTGTAGTGTAGACATAGCCTAAGGCCAGAAGGGACCATTATGTTCATCTAGTCTGACCTCCTACATAACAGGCCATAGAGTGTCACCCAGTGATTCCTGCATCGTGCCCGTAACTTCTATTCATTGCTGATGGAGGACACATTCCTGTGCATACCTTGCGTCCTGCCATGTTGTGTGTGAGCATGAAAGGGAGTTTACAGAATGAAAAACTGGTTTAAAACTGCTCTGTGTATGAATTTCTCCCAAATGGGTTGGGGAGGTAGGCCCATAGATCTGCCCCTTCTCTCTATACCCCCTATAGATAATGCTGATTGAAAATTTCCTGTTGAAAGTGTTTTCCAAAAGAAATTTGGGTTTTTGACTCAATTGATTTTTTTGTGAAGAGCACCTGCTCTGTATGGGAAACTTCGACACTTCGTCGAAAAATGGAATGCCTAAAATCAGAAAAGTTTACAGTTTTCACTGAAAATGGAAATGTTTTCATTCAAAATGGCGCTGCTGTGCCTAATGGAAGCCATAGTGTGTGTGCCTTTTGCACCCATTCTCCTCTCTCAGTGACTATGTCTTCCATGAAGTGTCATGACCCCTATGATGCACCTTCTCCCCTCACCAACATGGGAGAAAGTGGTGCCTCATGGGACATGTAGTCCAGGACATGTAGTCCTCTCCATAGAGGAGAATGAGAGCATGAGGCAACTAAACTACAATTCCCATGGGGCATGGTGGTGCCATTTTGAATTAAAATATTTCAGTTTTCGGCCAATATATATATATATATTTGATATTTCACTGAAAAGTCAACATTTTCTGAGGAAAACCCCCTATTTTCTGACCAGCACTACCCATGGAGCATGCTGGGCATGGCTGTGGGAACAGGCTGCTGTGCAAACGCACCCTGTGCAGTGGGCGGCTTGGGATGAGATTGAACTTCCCTGAGGCATGGTCTCTCCCTGAGGTCTCTTTTCAGCATGTGGATCTTCCCTCCCCCTGAAAAACATGGGCTGGTGCCCAAATGGCATATTTTAGCCCTAGCTAATCAATCAGGACTGTCAGTATAAAATCGGGACACCTGGTCACCCTAGTCACACATTTAGCATCTTTCACAAGCACTAGGTGCATTTAAAATGAAGGATGGTAGCAGGCATACCGCAGGCAACTGCTAGCAAGTGGGTCTGCCATGTGGGAGCGTAGAACATGCCTCCTATTGCAATGCAGGAGAGGACGCTGTTGTAGCCCCAAAAGCCAGAGTAGATCTCAGCAAAGGGCGCTGCAGCAGTCAAGCCTGTAAAGGAAGGAAGACACATCAAGGGAAACTCGCGTTAAAAAAAAATATCACTCATTATTAACCGAACTGGTTTCTTTCTCTTTGTTACTAGTGCTGACATTCAAAGCATTCAAACTTCTAATGGCCTGCCATCCTTTCTGCTGCATGTTTACTCTTTGTACTACACATTGCATAGGTAATTAAAATAGATTGATGATCAGTTTCACTTTCTGCTTCTTAAATATGAGCATAGGAGCTAAGGACAATCATGAATTCCATCTCCGACATCACCAGCTTAAAATCCAAAGGTGTCGTTCTTTGACCAGCCTTCTCTAACACCAACATAGAGCAGTGTGGACATTTACAAAACCAAACTGCACTTCACACACAATTCTCCCCCCCCCCCAGGAGAGAGGGAGGCGGGGAGAGCTGAATCATATCACTTAATGCACTACTGGAAGGTGTGCAGATACTACAGCGGTGAGCAGGGCCGGCTCCAGACACCAGCTTGGCAAGCAGGTGCTTGGGGCGGCCACTCCCCTGGAGCTGGCCCTGGCGGTGAGGGTGGCATAAGAACCTACACAGAATACAATAGAATAGAATGTTGCAATATATGGGTTGCAAACTCTGCAGGAGGATTTTTAAAACCAACTGTTAATTGTTTTATTACCATTGGGTAGGGGAAAGGGAGAGTTGTGGCTGATGTTTGTAATTTTCACCTTCGTTCCAAGGAAGCATTTCTGCTGATCACAGGTTTTCTGATCATCAAAGACCCGAGCATCCCCATGCCTCTTGCACGTGGGGACCCTTTCACAGTGCGCAACAACAATGGCTTTATCGAACCTACAAATTGATGAGCAATGTTACCTAATCTTCCATGCTGGTAGATGGCACTTTTTACATTAGCTATCTACCATGTATGCCTATATATATGCCTATCTTTTATACAGAACTCTAGTAACAGGTTGGTGATTTGCCCCAGGGCAAAGTGAGTGTAAAAGGCTGTGAGCAGAGGGAGATATTTGATCTGGGAAGCTCAGGAGTCATCATCTATGTAAATTATAAGGTAAGGGTGAGCCAAGCCCTAAGTCAGATCATGTAGTCAGTGGGCTTCCATGCTGGTATAAGTGTGTGCACTAGCAAATGTTTTTGCAACATTGGGGCCTGACTTTTAGATATGCCACAATGACAAGAGGTAACAAACAATAAGGATGGGATGGGAGGAAAAACAAGGGTTAGAGCATGAAGATCACAGTTACTCAGTTCAGGTGTGTGCATCTCTTGATGGTTCAATTAACCATTTATTAAACTAATGGTCACTGGTGTTGATGTAACACACATGCTTTATACTGCTGCATTTGGCTTTGGCACAAAGAAAGGGAGAGAAGCAATGGGGAGGGAACACGGCTCTTAGCTGGATACTGTATCTGCACTTGTGCAGAGAGCAGGGCAGGGCAACTCATGGGGTCTGAGGGTCTGAGTCGAATGTCTACACTGCAATTAAGCAGCCCCTTAGTCCGAGCCCAAGTCAGCTGACACGGGCCCGCTGTTTTTAATCGCAGTGTGGACATACCCCAAGAGGAGCAGTCTGTAATTGACCCAAGGGCTGGAATGCTGCTAGCTGTGGAGATCCCCAGACTTTGTTTGCTGGCAGGGTTCTGAAGTGTTTGAAAGAACCGAGCTGGTGCGTTTTTTCTCAAGCTCCGAAGAGGCCAGGCGACACACCCGACAGTACCATGGCCACACGATTAAGACTGAGAAGTCAGCTCAGCGAGAAGATCAGAGGGGAACGTGTTTTGATGTGTGTGTGCTGAAGTATAAAAGTATAACTGTTGTGTTGAAACCTTATAGGTGTAACAGCGTGAGTACGGCTCCTGAAGCTGCCATGCACACCCTAGCTGAGGAGGCTAGCATTAATGTCCAGGCATCAGCATGGGAGTAATGGGGTCAGAGTTCTGCGACAGGGTGTGGGCTAGGGTTGCCAACTTCCTGACCAAACACCCTTGCCCCGCCCCTTCTCCAAGACCCCGCCCTGCTCACTCCATCTTCCCTTCTCCCTCTGTCGCTCATGCTCCTCCACCCTCACTTGCTCATTTTCACCGGGCAGGGGAGCGTCCCTTTTCGACCGGGTGTTCTGTTGAAAATTGGACGCCTGGCAACCCTAGTTCGGGCACTAGCACTAGAGGGTGGGGTTAGGGTTGGGGATGGGCGAGGGAGTCATTGTTAGGGCTGGCGTGTCAGTACTGGGATTAGGGTGAAGATGTCAGCACTAGGATTGGGCATTATAGGCACACAGAGCCCTCTAGCAGCTAGGATGTGCATTGCACACACCCACCCTCATACCCACACCCCTCTAGTGGCTGGGATGATTATTACAAACACACAGAATTCTCTACCCCTCTAGCGTGTTTGTGCATGTGAGCACGGACACACTCAGCCCCCCTCCCAGTGACTGCTCCTCATCAGTTACCAGCCCTACCACTGCTGCTCGCTAACAGAGGTCTCTCTTTAATTCAAGTGACAGAGGTCTCTGCTGTGGTGCTGAAGGTCCCCAGGTTCTGCTCCCTGCTGATGACCCTGGGTGTGTGTATGTAAATCAGGGCATATAAGGGTGTGTGTGTGTGTGTGTGTGTGTCTCGGACTCACATTGGAATACACAGAATGCACACCGGAATGCACAGCCAGTGGCACTGAAGGACCCACTGTGGGGTGGGATTTGGAAAGGACATAGAAGGTATGGATAACCGTACTCAGAGAGTAGTTATTAATGGTTCCCAATCCTGGTGGAAAGGTATAACAAGTGGGGTTCCGCAGGGGTCTGTTTTGGGACTGGCTCTGTTCAATATCTTCATCAATGACTTAGATATTGGCATAGAAAGTATGCTTATTAAGTTTGCAGATGATACCAAACTGGGAGGGATTGAAACTGCTTTGGAGGATAGGGTCCTAATTTAAAATGATCTGGACAAATTGGAGAAATGGTCTGAGGTAAACAGGATGAAGTTTAATAAAGACAAATGCAAAGTGCTCCACTTAGGAAGGAACAATCAGTTTCACACATACAGAATGGGAAGAGACTGTCTAGGAAGGAGTATGGCAGAAAGGGATCTACGGGTTATAGTGGACCACAAGCTAAATATGAGTCAACAGTGTGATGCTGTTGCAAAAAAAGCAAACATGATTCTGGGATGTATTAACAGGTGTGTTGTGAGCAAGACACGAGAAGTCATTCTTCCGCTCTACTCTGCGCTGATTAGGCCTCAACTGGAGTATTGTGTCCAGTTCTGGGCATCGCATTCCAAAAAAGATGTGGAGAAATTGGAGAGGGTCCAGAGAAGAGCAACAAGAATGATAAAAGGTCTAGAGAATATGACTTATGAAGGAAGGCTGAAAGAATTAGGTTTGTTTAATTTGGAAAAGAGAAGACTGAGGCCTGGTCTACACTACGAGTTTAGGTCGACTTTAGCAGCGTTAAATCGAATTAAGCCTGGACACGTTCACACGATGAAGCCCTTTCTTTCGACTTAAAGGGCCCTTTAAATTGGTTTCTTTACTCCACCTCCGACGAGGGGATTAGCGATAAAATCAGCCTTAGCGGGTCGGAATTGGGGTAGTGTGGACGGAATTCAACGTTATTGGCCTCCGGGAGCTATCCCACAGTGCTTCATTGTGACCGCTCTGGACAGCACTCTCAACTCAGATGCACTGACCAGGTAGACAGGAAAAGGCACGCGAACGTTTGAATTTCATTTCCTGTTTGCTCAGCATGGAGAGCACAGGTGACCACGCAGAGCTCATCAGCACAGCTAACCGTGATGGAGTCCCAGGATCTCAAAAGAGCTCCAGCATGGACAGAACGGGAGGTACAGGATCTGCTCGCCATATGGGGAGATGAATCAGTGCTAGCTGAACTCCGAAGCAGTAAACGAAATGGCAAAACATTAGAAAAGGTCTCCAAGGCCATGAAGGACAGAGGCCATAACAGGGACGCACAGCAGTGCCGCGTGAAAATTAAGGAGCTATGGCAAGCCTACCACAAAGCCAGAGAAGCAAACGGAAGGTCCGGGGCAGAGCCGCAAACATGCCGCTTCTACGCGGAGCTGCATGCCATTCTAGGGGGTGCAGCCACCACTACCCCAACCGTGTGCTATGACTCCCTCACTGGAGAAACACACAGGGAAGCGGGTTCGGGGTACGAGGAAGATGAGGATGGAGATAATGTAGATAGCTCACAGCAGCAAGGAAGCGGAGAAACCGGTTTCCCCAACAGCCAGGATATGTTTATCACCCTGGACCTGGAACCAGTAACCCCCGAACTCACCCAAGGCGTGCTCCCAGACCCTGAGGGCACACAGGGGACCTCTGGTGAGTGTACCTTTGTAAATATTACACATGGTTTAAAAGCAAGCGTGTTTAATGATTAATGATTAATTTGCCCTGGCAATCGCGGCCAGTACAGCTACTGGAAAAGTCTGTTAACGTGTATGGGGATGGAGCGGAAATCCTCCAGGGACATCTCCAGAAAACTCTCCTTCATGTACTCCCAAAGCCTTTGCAAAAGGTTTCTGGGGAGGGCTGCCTTATCCCGTCCGCCATGGTAGGACACTTTACCACGCTAGGCCAGTAGCACGTAGTCTGGTATCATTGCATAACAAAGCATGGCAGCGTATGGTCCCGGTGTTTGCTGGCATGCAGACAACATCCATTCCTTATCGCTCTTTGTTATCCTCAGGAGAGTGATATTATTCATGGTCACCTGGTTGAAATGGGGTGATTTTATTAAGGGGACATTCAGAGGTGCCCCTTCCTGCTCTGCTGAACAGAAATATTCCCCGCTGTTAGCCACGCGGTGGGGGGGAGGGGTGAAGTGATCATCCCAGAGAATTGGGTGTGGGGGGGGAGGGGAGTTAGTTGGGTTTGTGCTGCATGTTAACCCGGAAACCGCAGCCCCTCCTTTTACATTGCAAACCCATTTTAAATGGCCAACCCAACGGGTGCTTGGTATGGGAAATGAGAGC